TCCCGCGGGCTCCATCCCCCCGCGAACTGGTCTCGTGTGTTATTTATACTGCGGAAAACACCCTTTCAGGGATCGCCTTGGGAAACTGAAAGGAGAGAACTAAAGTGACTCTTCGTTTTGGTTTTGAGTTGGATCAGCCTCACAGAACTGAGCCGTATAAATGAGAAACGCGCTTTGCCCCCGGCCCGGACCACAAGTCCGTTCCAGTTAACGTTGCTGCTTCTGTAATGCCGATCTGCTTCCGTGCCGGGATGCTTACATGGATGATGATGATTTTCTGTTCTCACCAGGCCTCGTTGCACTGTAAAATAACCCCACGTGGGGAGTGCCGCGTCTCTATCTGGTCCCGCCTGAGCGACTTGCTTTGAACGCCCCCGAAGCGGAGGCGAGCGCCGGGCCCGATCCTGGCGCTGCCCCCGCCCCTGCCGCTACCGATGCCAAGAGGGAGGTCGTAGGGTGCCCGCAGGAAGCAGGATCGGGCGTTTTGTTTGGGAGCTTTGGCAGCAGCCGGAGACCTTTTCCTTCCTCCTCCTCCCTCCGAGCCCGGGCTCCCCCCGCCCCGTGTCGCGCATTTCCCTGGACGGGAGAGATTTCCATTTCGCTTAGAGTCGAGAGGACTTGCGTGTGGAAAAAGTAAACTTTATTAGACTGAGGTAGTTTCATCTCGAGATACAGAGCACGGGGAAGGGAGTGGAGGGGAAATAGGAGATTCCGATTAAGAAACCCCTAGTTTCTCTCGATGACGTTTTTCCCTTTAAAACAATCTCTAACAATAAAGTTGCCGTGTTTTTCAGTTCGTCCTACCCTAAAGTTTCTCGTGGGGAAGGGAAACAATTTAGCCATGGTTAAAAAATGTTTTTATCGGACTCCGATAAGCCTAAGAGGGTGGGGCACAAGGAACCGTGCTACTTCGCTCCAAGACTTCAGGGTATCGAAACGTACAATAAATAGCAGCCAGTGCATCAGTGCCTGGGGGAGCCAAGCCCCGCGGCCCCCCCGCAGCCTTGTTCCCGTCCACCTTCACACCTCGTACGACAGTGACCGTTGCCCAAAGTACCCCGAGGTCAGCCTTCGCCTCATCTCGTTTTCTTTGATAGCACAACCCTCCCTCCCCCAGGATCAGTAGCAGTCACAGTCGCAGAGCGTGTAGAAAACCCTGTAAAACAGTAATAGTGCAAAATGGTAGCAGAGGAGTTGCCTTTTTTTTTTTTTTTTTTTTTTTGCTTGGTGTTTGGGTCTTCGCAGAGGCCTCTAGCATCTTCCGCGCATCGGATCTCATTCCAAGATATACATACAGTAAATAAAAGGGAAAGAAAAAAATACCCAAAACTTTTTTACAATCTCGCGGCAGGAGAAATACATCAAACGTAGGATTCTTGCAGGCAAAAGTCGTTGTGCACATTTTTAAAAAGGGAGAAAACTAAATTCGTTTTAAAGTTTCTGTGGTTGAAAGTGCAGTTCCTATAGGGGAGGGAGAAGGGAGAGGGAGAAACGTCCCTGAGACAAACGCCCATTGCTAAGGCTATACGAGGACACGGCTGCTCCGTTGGAGTCCAGTGTTTTACAGAGGGTCTATAAATTAAGAAACAGAAATGCAAGCCGGAGAACTGGTATCGCACATGTGGAGAGGGCCGGAGCCAAAGGGACTGCTCGGAGAGAAGCGTGACCTTGCTTCCGCGCGTGTGTGCGGACGGGGCTGTGCGTGGGAGGTGCGTGTTTTGCGTGTGTGTCTGTTGGGGTCTGCAGGGAGCAGCTGCCCCACGAGGGCAGCCCCGGGCTGATCTCTGAGCCCCTGCGGGGACGCGTTTCAGGAGGACACCGAGCTGGGGGAGGCCTCAGGTGAGGTGCAGTTGGACTGATCCGAGGCTTCACTCGCCTCCTTCGCAGACCTGGAGGCAGCAGCCGGGGCGAGACCTTCCTTTTCCCTTTTCTTCTGCTTCATCCGCCTGTTCTGGAACCAGATCTTGACCTGGGTTTCGTTGAGCTCTAGGGTAGCGGCGATCTCCACCCTGCGGGCCCGGGTGAGGTACTTGTTAAAGTGAAACTCCTTCTCCAGCTCCGTCAGCTGCTTGGTGGTGAAGTTGGTGCGGATGGCGTTGGGCTGGCCCAGCAGTCCGTACTCCGACACTTTAGCTGTTAAGGAGCAAACACCAACAGGGCAGGAGCAGCCAGAGCAATTCCCTCGCTGGGACGGGGGGTGCTGTGAGTGCCGGCTCTCCCCCGCTCCCCTCCGCTCCTGAGCATTTGGTCCCTCCACCGCCCGGAGCTTCGTGCTCCCCCCTAGATGCTCAGCTACCCTTGGCTTCCCAGCCCAGGGATACATCCTGGAGGGACAGACCACCCCGGGCTCTGCAGAACTGCCCCCCTTCCCCTGCAACCATTCCCCCCAGTTCCCTGCGAACTGCCATGAAACTTGAGGGCGAGGCTGATGATGGGAGGAGGCGGGGGGGAGATTACGATTTAGGGAAGATTGTGGAGAAGGAAGTTGAACAATAGGGGAGAGGGAAACCACGACTGTGGAAGAAGCAGGAAGCCCGGAGCGTTTCCTATTCCGAGTTGGGCTTAAATCGCATTGGGCCTGCGGGAAGCTGAGCTCAGGGACCCAGACGTGTCTGGAAAATCTCTAGCTGGCTTTTCCTCAGCGTTGAGCTGATGTTTTTAAAAACAAAACAAAAAAAAAAAAAAAAAAAAAAAACCCACCACACCAA